TAGGAATTAGATGATAACGAACGCACACGGTCGCGAGTGAATCCGGGGCGCGGCGGAGGAAGGTTAAAGTAGCTGCAGGTGCAGCCGGGTGGGCGCGCAGTGTTGCGAGAGCAGGTGGTAACGGTTGTAAATTATTGTCTTAATTTCTCCGCAACACCCTCGTCCTTTCCCGCCTTCTCTCCTGCCCCCACGGGAGCTGAGTCGGTCGGCTCGCCGGGCCCCCGATATAACGCGGTCCCAGGCTAATTTCGTATGTTAGAAAATAATAAAGCTATATAAATTCCCTCGAGTCGGTCGGTCTGAAAAAATAAAATAAAAAAATAATAAGCAGGATATCGATAATCGAAGCGAGTGGGAGAAACTCCGGAATATGGCCGGCACGATTTAATTTGTCTCCGCTGCTGTGCTCCGTCACGGTAAACGTTGGATATTATAATTCAAACGTTTCCAATTTGCACGATGTAATTATTAAAATTTGTTTTAGGTCTTCTATTTTGATATAGGATCCTATTTATAATTTTACATGTCATACATATTATAAATGCAATTACGAATAAAGGAAGTCTTATGTTACACTATCGTGCGCATATCTGAATTATAATTGCGTTATAATTATATAGAGAGTGTATCGTGTCTCTCTTTATATAGATATATTACATTATCTATATGTTATACAAGTGGATGTGTAATTAAATCGTGTTTCTGCCGACTTCTCATTTCCCGATCTGTCATCATGGTTTATTATTATTTGGTCACGTACATCTGTATACAATAATTTAATAAAGGTATATTATGAATGAAAATGATTTAATTCTCGTTGCAAGCGCATGATTTATTCTCGGGACCAGGACAACGCTGTCTCGAACTACCGTATGTGATTAAAGTTTTTGAATTGTGGATTATGGTTATTAAATTTGTCAGTTTACTCTGCGCACGCGGTGTGTAATTTTCCGTCCAATAAAGTAGAACATGTTGATGCAGTAGCAGAAAATTTCAACGAAAATACTAACTTTATAAATATAATTCCGATTCTGCAAATTCCTTCTATGTTTAAATAGCACATCAAATTATACCGAGTTCTGCCTCTGACATTATTGCGAGTTATATTATTATATCTCAAGTGGATTCGGCAAAGATGAATATTGTATAATATATTAACCAAGTGCTACTTTAATATTTTTATCTTTTTGCGCACGAGTTTAATTTACTTAACTGAAAAACGTGCCAGACTTGGCATGCTCAAGTATTCCAGCACAGTTAAAACAATGATTGATCATCTCGTCTCGTTCGCCGGTTATATGTCGATTATATTTCGTATCACGTGGAGACTCACCGAAAACTTTGGTGTCGCGCGTGTCGATGAATCGGTCGTCGATGACGTAATTCGGTCTCACCGTCGCCTCGCACCTGCAACAAGACATTCGATCATGCTTCAGAGTCGGTGGTTCTTCTGGCTCGGTCGGTCAGGCGGAAGGGTGAATTAGTCGCGCTCCATCGCGCGAAACTCACGTAAAACGAACTCCTGCTCGCGAGCGAGCGCGATGTATATTTATGGGGTATGCGTCGAGCTGCGCTATAAGCAACAGCTCTGTGTTTGAACGACGGAAATATACTACACTACGTTATAAAGATGAAAATTACCTGACGATTATCTTGTCGCTGACGAGATGACTCGGGTTTAGCTCGAGTAGCAGACTCGATATCGTGGAGTACAATCCGTGTTGCTCGAAAAACATCTCCGAATCGGGCTTCACCTGGAAAAATCAACGTTTGTTGCGCAACGCTTCTCTTCGCGATCGAATCCAATCGCATTGAAAGTAACTTTCCGATTCCAGCATCGGGGAAGGATGAATAGAATTCGTCGCGATGTTCCACCGAGCGTGGAACCATCGATTCATACTGTTAAAAAGTTGGAATATGGATGGACGAGCAACTGCCTCGCCACAAATAAATCTTTGTTATTGTCCAAAATCGTGTGCGTTAACTCGAAAATCAATGCCCGCATCGTTAATTAACTTATAGAGAAAATGATTAACAAAAGCAAAAAAAAAAAAGAAAAACGAAAAAAAATGTAAATACTGATGTACAGAGAAGGTTATTGTTCCTGTATTGCAAATATGGCGACTAATTATCGCTTCTTCTACGTAATGCTATTATTCCAATATTCGAACTCGTGTTAATTAACGGAGGTTCTCGGCGAAACTGATCCTTACGTAAGAAGGACGGCGGCATAAATCCAGAACACGGGACGTAAGGATACGTGTGTGGTAATTATACGTCTAATAAATTGTAGACCTTGGTTACGGAACCGAAAAGCGAGGGACGTTGCACAATCTATGCGTTCGATACATCGCTGCATCGTATCGGACAGCGTAGACATCGAGGAGGAAATGAGAAGCGTGAATGTGACGCTGCGGGGCAGATGCTTCGACGTGATTGCACCAATTCTATGGGGTGTACACCGGGCGCATCGCGTGCTACGCGATAGAACGAACAAATATCGTTTAGAGACGAAGTTAATATCGGCGCGGCGGCTTCGAGATTATCGTGAACTTGATTACGGAGTCTCGTGTTGAAATGGAATTAAATGTAAACAGGCGTGTTGGCAAACAACACCGATATCCCGGATGAAGTTCTCATTATTGTATATGAAACGCAGTAAATGTTATAACAACTGTTCGTCTCTCGTTAAAAAACACGGCTTTAATGGACGTAAAGATGCAGAATATAGAATGACCGAGAAATTGTTGTTAGACTCCTACGTGTAGAACAGAAAACAAATATGAAAGTAATTTATTTGAGAATATGTGGCGTGGTAGAGCGTTATTATAATCCCGTAATATCGTTATAATTATTGTAATTATCTTTTACTCATTATATTAGCATTAAGCTTTTTTCCTATAAGCTTGCTTAGCGATTATTATAACATTTCTGCGTAACTATTTTCAAAGTTATTATCCACTATGTTTGAATACTCGAATTTTCAGTATTTTTTTACAGCAAGATTGAGATCTCGTTCAATTGATTGCATTAATTAACTAACTAAATAAAATAATATATTTGCAGCTGTATCTTGAATAGCAAAATTTCAATACAGGTTTAAAGCACTTATTTTTTATTGATATCAAAATAATATTTCAATCGGAGAAACGTAAATGGATAAAAATATTTTTTATTATTATTATTATTTTATTACATCGAAAAACGATGCGGAGAGAGCGAAATATATTAATGATACTCTCCGACGTTTCTTTGGAAAGGTTTGTCAGATTCGCCGCATCCATGTCTCGACTTTATGTAACAGCCAGATATACGGATCTCGCTTTGTAATTCAACTCCTCCAAGTTCTTTATGTCGTATGTCGTATTTTATACGACTAAAATTTCCATTTTTTTGCGCGACAGCGACACAATTCCTCCACTCACTTCTTCCGCGCCGTCTTTTCCCCGTCCGACTCTCTCCCATTTTCCCAATTCTATTTCCGTACGTATGATCCTATATGTCTTACCGTTTATCTTCGAAAGTCGGGACACGGCCCCGTTGCCTTTTCTATTAATAAACCACCTAGCGACTGCACCTTGTACGTGCGTACGTGCGAGTCGAACTTTATGCGGGCGCGCGAGCACTAGTCGTACGAGCTTGTGAATATTTCTTTTGCGAATGAAAAACTTTGATGCGAGCCGCGTGTGTGCGTGAACACGCGCGCCAAGAAAGACGACGGGCAACGGCGTGGAACGTGCGAAAGTTGACGGACGAAACTTCGTTGAAAGTTTCGGCGCGATGCTCGTTTGAAGCAGAGAATTCCGTAATTAAGGTAACGAAATCGCCGAGACTGCCGTGACGCAGCCACGCAAATGGGGCGAGATGGGCGAGCTTGTGTTTCATCGTCGTTTAAATGTTGTCGGGGAGGACAATCGGTAGGTTGCGCCCTCCGCCCCGAATGGATAAGCGTCTCGAGGGAAGAATGCTGATGATATACAAAACGGAGGGCCGGCATCTCAGGAACGACGAAGATCCGGCGGACACCGTGAGCGCACCGTCGAAATATTTCAGCAGCCGGATATCGTTTCGGGGCATATTATCGATAAATTCTAACGCTTTACGTTTTCTCTATCGTTTATGAATTCTGCAGTGCTCTCTCGTCTGGTTTTGTTGCCGCGCGCATACGTCATCCCTTTGTAGCTCGTAGACGACGCGCGTTCCATCCTGATACGCTGCACTATATATTCGACTGTATGTATTCCACTTTGTGCAGAAATACGATGCAATTTTGTCGTCTCTTGGCGTAGCTACACCGGCGTAGCACTTACGTGCTTATCTTTGAACAGTTGTCGTCAAGCAGTTCATCTCGGCGTTGCGCAAAAAGCAACAACGAGATAAGAAAAGAGCCGGAAGATTAAATCATTTTTAAGCCACGTTTCTCGACTCGGCGGATACGCTTGATCCCGTTGATTGCTTCCACTGTGACTCGCGACCGCTACCGTTCTGACTTTTCTCTTTCTACGATTTTCCAACGATATATACAATATCGGCCGAGGGAAAAAAAGTACGGACGTATTCTCTGACCAAAAAATGCACGATAAAATAACCGGGAGAAACTGGCGAATATCTTTGATTTTTGACCGAGCTTGTAACTATTTTGAAGCTATCGACGAGACGAGAGTAGAACAATTGTACAACGACAAAAATAATACAAACAATAAAACGAGCTGGGAAATCTATACGACGAAAACATTAATTTCATTGCATAACTAAAAGGCAAAGGATTACTACAGCCATAACTAGCGCGGAGTAAAAGCTAGCAGTTTCCGCTGTATTCCCGTAGCTGTATCCTTAAATTAACTCAAGTAGACGGTAAAACCAAGCGCGAGTATTATAACCGGATGCTTTCCTCGCAAGATTTTCCTCGGCGAGGAACGTAACTTTGCCGAAAACATGAAATTACAGCGACTCGCAAGTGTTCAATTTGTGAAATTGAAAACGAGTCGCCGTTTACGCGGAATATTCGTTAGCTGCGTTAAGGCGAGGTAGATCCACGTGCAAGTGTCAATAAATACCGCGCTTAACGACCAGAATGGACAAATCACGTCGCGTAAAGTGTGCGAGTGCTTTCCGGCTGAAAGCTTTGAAGAGCCGAAGATTACGCCGATACAACGAGCGACACTCCTTTAGGGCTTCGCAGTGAATCGCATGCGGCCGAAACTTTCTCTTCTTATCTTTTGGACTTCGGTCTTCCTTTTCCGCTGCAGTACACCTCCCCGTCTCGGCTGTTCCCTGCCTCTTCCTTGCTCCACCGAGAAAACTTCGCAACGCTCCCAACGACGTCCATTAGAAGTTGCGCGAGTTTAGTATAGCACTTAACAAGTAATATTGTTTCGGAAATGTTCGTGTCGCGAGACTCGAAAAACCTGTTAACGCGAGTCAAGTAATCTTGCGAAGAGAAAAAGTTCGATCGCTTGCCAACTTCGGGAGTACATCGTGGATGAGCAGCATGACGGGGGAATCATTGTCGTCACAAAGTGACGAACAGGACAGCGATTGTGAAGCAACAAGGTTTTTGAGAATCTATTCTTTCATTTCAATCGCGTTTTTGAACATAATCGCAAGTTCTTTTCTCTTTTATTTGCGTTTTACCTTCGCAAACAACGAACGTAAATTGATATTTATTTTATTCCACTTAGCAATCTGTGTTACTTAATTTTCAATTAATTTTGATTCAAATATTGTTATTGGCAAATAGCTACGGTACTTTAGTTTCGTGACATATTTGCATAACTTTTTTTTCTAATAATTTTATGAGACGATAGTGTATTTTCATCAAATAAATATTCATTTTCAATATACATTAAATATATTGTGACGAAGCTTTATAAAATTTTGTTAAAGATGCAAATATTCTAGCTTCCTCTGTAGCGTAGAAAAAAATTTAGTTGGAACGATTATGACACGAGAGAATATATAGACAGCTGATTTCCAGAGCTCTACTCTCGCGCCAGCAACGCGCTTTTTAACCCTTTGTCGTCGGATGTCGTCGTATAAAAGCGGCGAGAATGGCAGCACTCTTCGCTGGTCGTCGTCACACTAGCCGAACGACTATTTTTATGAATTATGCCGCTGTAAAAAGAAACGATCCACACCATTGTGACTTGTAACGCAGCTGGCGCACTTGGGCTCCACAACGAATATTATGTCGCGGTCGTTCGCATCTGCGGGGGACGGTGATAGATAGACGGCAATTTCGCGGCTCCTAATGAATTCTTTCTGGCCGAGCAAATATTACCAGTTGGTGCGTTGAGAAACGAGCTTTCTTCAAACGCCCGCCCGGACGGGTTATATTCCGGTCTAATTCGTTGGCATTACACCAATTAGTTTTTACGACGATCTCAAGTGCTTCCCGGTTCCCGCTGTGTTTTTCCACACTGAGGCGCACACTACGTATACTTATTTGCGATGGCAAAAAAGTTATTACGTTAGAGCTATTACATTACAAGACTCACGAATTACGCTGCGAAATCGGGGAAAAAAGCGTTTATACGCGAGGTGTTTCGATAAATAAAGTATCAAGAGGGACGAGCACCTTACATGGGAGGTTTGATATATATATATATATATACATATATATTGGAGTTGGTTGCTAGCTCGTACTCGATGGAGCACAGCACAGCGAAAAGAAAGAACGAAAGCGCTGTATTTCTGGGATGTTTTCAGCGCGTCTAATTGTTTCTATTCGTTCTTGTCGATAGCCTAAAAATAATTGCAAACCCGATCGAAAATTGAAGGCTTTCGTCAGTTTCCTCTCGACAATTTTGTCAAACTTCTTTATTTTTAGTTAGAGCCAAGAATATGTCCGTGCTTTCTTTCCTCGGCTGCGCCGAAAGCGATACATCAATATGCATGCGATAGAAACTCCGGCGGCCTCGAGCGATAGAAGGATTGAATTATTCGTGACGTGGCGAAAGAACGGAAACTTTGTAATAATAACGAAAAAAAAAAGAGAAAAACGAAGGTCCTGCGCACCGAAAAAAAAGAGAATCTCTCGTTTCTCTGTCGACTTGTGTGTACGTTTTCAGCGCGCGAGAAACGGACACCGACGAACGACCGCCGACAGAGCGTACTGGATTTCGTAAAAACACAGCGCGGAGCGAACAAGCGGCATAAGTATAAAGCCCGCTTCTGCATTCATCTGGGATCATTGTGCGGCAAGGAGAAGGTAACAATTAAGCGGTGGACTCTCGTGCGAATCTTCCTTCCCGCCCCGCGGTAGCTGCCTCCACTGCAGACGTAAATTGATCCCCTTTCCACTGCACATCGTGGATTAATTAGAGAGCTACGGGTTTTTTTTCTCAGCTCGCTGCATCTTCCAGGACGCGCACTTTTGACCGGTTTTTATCGATTCGCGGATATTTTCCGCGATGCTGCGAATAGAAAGTTTCCAAAATGGGAAAAGAGCGTAAAATCACAATGTATCAGAGGCAATTCGTGACGTGTATCAGAAGGCTTTGAATAGTGTCCGGTAGTGGTCGGCGCAGCTGCGCCCGTTTTGTCGGCCGTTAATTGGAGCTTTGGCTCATCAAGCGTCGCCGTTGCTAGCACGATGAAATCGAGCCGCGACGGTCGAACTCTCAGTCGGCTTACTGAAATCAGCTTGCCGTTCGCTTTCCTCTTCTGCTTTCCACTATCAACGGCTCTCGCCAATATCCTTGCATTTACCATCCGACCCCAACACGTGACTGCTTCGCCCACCGATGTTGCCATGTGCTATTGCAAGCTATTTTCAAGCTTCGACACTACACATATGTATAGTGGATTTTGTGAAAGCTTAGAAACTCGTACAATGGCGCAGGTATCTGCCATAAACGCCTTTATACGACGGCAGCACAATAATACGCGCGATATCGATTATATGATATTCCTTTTTCTCTTTTCATTTACTTTGTTCGACTATATTCCGTCGACTGAAGTGATACACTAAAGATTTGGTTCACGGACGACGGCTTAATGTTTCTACTTTGTGCGAAATCTTCCCCGATGCTGTGAGAAGTGGTTCTTAAGAAATGTTTAAAAGCAGTTGCTCACCTGCTGGCCATTAACGAACCATTTGAGTCGCGCGGCAGGATGGGACTTGTCGCTGGTGCAATTCAGCGCGAGAACGTCGCCACTCGCGTACACCTTTTCCTCCCCGGTTATCTTCAGGCGTTTCGTTAGGTAGCACTGCGAAACACGAGAGAACATTGTTAGGTGTACATACGGAGAATTATACGAAGATCATATTTATTTCAGTCGTAAATGCGGGCAAATCGGATCGACGGACAAAATGGAGCGTTTTTAAATATTTTATAATATAATATTTTAAAAAATCGATTTGATTCGTCTGCACTTATCTTATTTTTAAATAAACTAAGATGCGGCTGAATCAGGTAATTTTTTGAAAATATTATAAAATATTTTAATATAATCCGTTTTGCTCGCTGATCCGATTTACTCTCGTATTTTCGCATCTTACACGCATAAAAATAGTATTACACAATATTTCTGTGATAACAATACAGATTGTAAAAGATTTATTATAATTATAAATATTGTACTGCTAAAGAAAGGAGCAAACATTTTCATCTCCATAAGTTAAAACATTTTGACAATCAGTAAAACTTGCAATGTATTTAGAAGAAACAACTGTCGCAGAGAAAGAGGAGAGAGAAAAAGAAAACAGACATAATTCTTAGAATACGACTGTTTATCTCTCGGTCTTATTTGCCTACGACATCTCTTAATACTAAATCCTACATTGTTCCGGCGGTATAAAAAACAGCTTTGCGTTCTTTGAGAACTTTGCGGTAAGATGTATAAAGTCAGGGAGCGCCATTAACAAAAAGTTTTACAGCCACTAAACGCGCTTATTAAGCTTTAGATCTGGCGCATTTAAAATTTCGGCGTATACGTGCCACCACGCGTTAATGTTCCTCATAATGAAGCGGCCGTACGACAGGCTGTCGCGTAGACACGATTAATAGTCGAAGCTGGGAAAGTGAGCACCGTAAGAATGCATCGGGGATTAAGGGCTCGCTTGGAGAACACTCGCGAAATTTACGACGACGGTCATGCGCACGTTTGTTTGACGCGCGTATTTTCTGCTGGAAGCTTCCGCTGAATAGAAGATAGATGCTGTCGGTTAGTTTCAACTCTAAAGCTGATGCTGAAGTAAATTTAAATTAACGCCTTTCTGCACTACCCATTTTTAATTACAAATTTAGAATATGCTGAGCTCAAGGGAGGGATGGAGTATTTTTTCAAATTCTTCTTTTTTGTGTATTTAAAAACGTTGAAAAAAAGCATAAGGTAAAAAGATTTTTATAGTCCTGCGGAAAATTTACCTATAAAATTAAAATTTCTCTCTAATTTCAAAAAGATCTGTTATCTACCTAATTAAATTTTAATGAAATAAAGATTAACTAATTATGGATAAGCATAAATAATGATCACGCTTATGAGTGGATTATGTAATTATTCCCGAGAAAATATAATGTATATTTAAAGAGTTATTCGGTTCTAATATAATTATAAATACAATTACGGACACAAATACGCAATTTCTCGATTGCAGCTAAACTTCACTCCGATAGTCGTTGCCTTTATGTAGTTAAATCGACTCCGTATGCACCGAGGGTTAATCCGAGACGACGAGATGGTTCTTATCAAAATCACTCTCGAAGATACCATCGCGATAAAAGTGCATCTTCCCGATAAGCTTCTAAAGCCATCGCGACACTCTGCTTGGAATATTCAACGAAGCCATTCCGAGTCTTACAATAACGATCTTTCAGATTTACGCCAAACTGGCGTTTCCGCCGGAAACTCTGTGGCTGCATTAATATTATTTACAGTAGGAGAACGTCGCTTGTTCGTCGTTTAATTGTCAAATTAGTAGAATTATACAAAGAATTAATTCAGTGTAAAAATATTACGAAGGTTCTTTTATGCGTTTGGTCGAATAAAATAAAGTACGTAACATAAAAAAAACTTTTTTATATTTTCATAAATTTTTTATTTTCACAAATTTATTGCACTTGTAATAAATGTCTCTCTCTCTCTCTTTCTCTCAAAAACGATTGAAAAATAATATTGCCAAAAAATAAAAAAAAAACATGCGATTGAAATTTGTAATGTCGTCAAAGTTTCGAATAGATATGAGTAATTATTAATATTAATATGATAGATAGAACAGACAGAGATATTGATTGAATGAATAGGCATGTTTCCATACAATTAGTCGCTAACATTTTTTAACGTTTGACAATAAAATTATCGTCGAACCGGCGGCACGACGGCGAAATAAATTCGAATAATTTACGCTCGCTTGCTCACGTTGAAACGCACTCGCCCGATGGCGACGGAAATGCGATCGAAGTTGCACGTTGGCGGAAAGAGACGAGGTAGAAAAAGAAAACGCAAGCTGACCGTTAAGTGAAAGTAGGACATATCAGTCGCAAAGCCAGACAGACAAATAGGACATCTATTTTTATGCGAAATAAAATAATTATATATTTGTTAGCAAACAAGAGAGAGAAAAAATTATTAACAAAGAAGCTCATTTTATCTATGATTTTAAATTGTAGTTATAAATGTACAAGAAATGTACGGGAATGCCTTTGTCTCCTGTCTCGTGTCTACGCTTAATTTTTTATATATCGAACGACTTCTAAAATTCGCCACGTTGCAAGTGAGAAGCCGCGTGACGTACAGCGCGGATTATCGATCTTTGCGCGGACTAGCGCGAGGGAGGAAATTTTGTCGCAAGGATGCAGTGGGAGACGAAAAGCCGACAGACTGGAGAAACTTGGCACGACGACAGGCCTCCTCGAGGCCTCTACAACGGTCTTAAAATTCCCCGTCTATCCTGCCACCCGTCTTCCACCCGCAACGACCTGTCTCGCTCCCGCTAGCGCGAGCGCTCCTGTCCTCTTTCTTTTTTTCCGTCTCCTTCGGCGCGGCCCACAGCGTCGGCGGCGGCGTCCGGTTACGGCTTAAGACTTACGACGTCGTAATATTTATCGCGTTTCGACGGCTTTATGCACTCTTAAACTTTAATGCTCGCTCACCGTACCTCGCGCGCCGACTGGACGAATTTCGTGCTCTCCACCGAAACGCGAGCGAAGGCGCGCGCGTCCATCGCCTGCTCGCTTCTCTTCCTCGAAATCGACCGAAGGCGATGCGGATAAAACTGGAAATACGGCGCGGTATTTTGTAAAGTTGGCATTCAGAGTTCCGCAAGTTGGCATGCTTGGAATGTAGGAAGACGAGCGACATTGATCCCGCGTGATTAGCCCTTTTGCGAGATCGATCATTTCGCAACCTCATCTGTCGTCTGTCTGATGTCTTAAACGAGGCGCCTAGCGATTCTATGTCACGATTGCATGTCCTTATTTATTGGAAATTTTATCAGGCATGCCAGTAAAAATCGATATTTATCGTAAGAAATGTAATTTTTTTATCAATCGATGCTTTTCGAAGCCTGTAGGATCTTATTATGACGCGCTTTTAAACTTTTCGCACGTTGAAAAAAAAATATAAAAAATTATTAAACTCTATTAACTATGTTTTCGTCAGCAAATTACACCTCCATTTTTAACCGTATCTCTTTTATTGAATTTTAACAACACATACGGAATTATTTTTGTTTGGCGCAATTGCAACTTCCGCGCGAACGGATAACTGTTTGAGGAATTAACTGAAGTATAAATGCGCTTGATTTACACATGTGTCGGCGGAATTTTCTTTTCATAAAATAAAAAAAAAGTATTAAAATTCATCCACCGAATTATATTCTTTTGCGAATGACAAACCGTCTGTTGTAGCGAAATAATTATAAGGCGATTACGTTTGCCAATAGCGGGCGGAGTCCCCGCGTAATCGTGCCTATCTTCATTGTCGAGCCGCCTATGTTGAGGCGAGTTAATATCTAGTTGGGAGCCGCTGTGTACTATGGTATCGCCCACTTTGACCGTATGATAATCCTATTGCAACTGATCCTGCGTCTAGCGTGTGCTCGAGATAATTAGATATGCTTCCTTTGATCCTCGTAAGAACACCATACGCATCTACGCGCACGGCTGCTTGGATCAAGTATCCGCCGGAGGGATTGATCGCTCAATGTCCGAAACATTGCAGAATCGGAATCATGTACTGGTCAATCATCAATCGCAGATGTTAATCTTTGATTGGAGAATCAGCGCGATTATGCCAGCGGATATTGCGCGTTCGTTATCGGGTTTCGTCTCCCATTTGCTACTTTGCTTGCATTTGCTTTGTTTTCGACTAAACCTGTCAAATTTGCAATACTATACACTAGTGCTACAGTACGCCGCAGTATTGTATAACTGATAAAAGCATCCAGAAATCAGGATGCACGGAGATCAAATAACAAAAGAATAGACAGACAAACAAAAAAGGCAGATGACGTTTTCATGCGCAGATTATTGATGAATTTGTAACGCCACATGGACACGTACGTACGTTCGATGGCGCAATCAAATAAAGAACTGAACGATTAATCAATCAAACTGTTATTCGTTTACCCGCTTGAACTGGTCAGTGGAGCAAACGATTATCTGTTTGTCCATCTAATCAATGAAGCGATTATATGGCTGTTTTTTATCCGTGATGAAGTAATGAAAAATGTCCGGAATACAAAATAAATACACAATAAATATGGCTTTATAAGTAAAAAAGAGATTAATTGCACACAATGAATAATTTCAAAATTTCCTGCAATATTTTCCGATATCATTTTGTTCATAGAATTACATAAATGTATAAAAACTTTTTTCAATATTTTCATTAGTAGCATTTATGTTTGTAATGCGCATTAAATTTGAACTTAAAAAAAAAAAAGATATCAAATTTATTTTTATTTGTATGAATTTATTACTGCACAAAAAGAGTTTGCAGAAAATATAACAGCTATTGTGATTTTAAATTTCCAATTTTAACCGTCAATCAAGACTAAGATGTTACATTATGTTTCGCAATATTGTTAAATAATTCTTTCACGCTTTTATCGAGTTTTCATCCGATAATATTTCTATTATCAAAACTGCGAATCACATTTTATTGGTCACCAATTTATTTGATCCCATTGCGAACGAGCAATTTCAATGAGACGCACCTGACATTCGCTAATTACCGCATTCTACGACTGTTAGATTGTCTTGCGAGCAATACCGGGTTTCGGTGGCACTTGCAAACTTACGCGACGCTGTAATCTGATATCGCCTGCGCTTCGGAGTTGCCGTTAATTTTGCAAACTAATCGGTCCATCGTAACTAGACGAACGTGTAAACGCGGTAGCGAATCCACGGTTAGAGTGTAGGGCTCGTTTCACCTCCCGAATAGGGTGGAGTATTACATGTAGGACAACAAGTCTCGGCAGCTCCTCATTTCTTCATGAAAATACAATCGCTCTCTCGCTCTCTCTCTCTCTCCTTCTCTCCTCTCTCTCTCTCTCTCTCTCTCTCTCTCTCTCTCTCTCTCTCTCTCTCTCTCTCTCTCTCTCTCTCTCTCTCTCTCTCCCTCATATCTCTCTCTCTCTCTCTCTCTCGGCACGCTGCTGCCAAACTCCACTGCATCGTAGTCTTTAGTCGAGTTACCAAAGGGGAGACAACGGCATGGCCACGTTCAAAGCATTATTAATTAAACGCGACACCAGTCCACTCACCTATGACCTCCATACTCGCATTGCCGCTAACTGAGCTGAAGCTCGGACCCTCCCCGCTAACTTCGCACTTGTACATACCGGTGGTACGGAGAGTCACGCTCTTCAGTACAACTTGCTGGTGGTCCGATTGAACAGACTGAAACAGACAATGTAGACTTGTCACACGAAGAATCAAGATGCGAATAAGCGTACGGATAAGCACTGAACTGACTAGAGAATTAGCAGACAAATATAAATTACCAATCTATTTGAATAAATTTTATTCAAATAAAGGAACATTAATTGCTAATATCTCTATTTTATGTGTCAAATTAAAATTCTGTTAACTTTTTTTCGAGCGCAAGAATCTATTCTTGTAATCGAATCTGTATTTGTATATTGTATAATTAAAATATCAAAAAATAAAAAATTATGAGAAACGTAATAAATTGAAATAAATATCCTGACATATAAATCTATCAAAATGCGAAGGCTGTTGTCATATTTATATATAAATAATATTGTTAGAAAATCAGTTTTTCATTATAAATCAAAACGGAGCTGTCAAATGAAGATAACTTATATTAAAAATAAATTTTAAAAAAGCAAGATATTTTAGTTATATCTGACGGTTAAGAAACATCGCATTTAGTAATAATTAAAAAAAACTAGATGCATATATTTTGTGATATAGTATATGTGCACTGAGAATAATCATTTACGGAACGATAAGCACGAAAGATACAGTTTTGGCGCTGCAAGAATTTTTCACCGAATTATAAAAATACAGCGCACGCCGATGTGTGTGCATGTCGCGCGCGTACGTGTAATATTACGTAACTACTGCGTTACTACGATCAGCTGGTCAGCTGACTAATGGCAGTGAGGTAGGTCACGGCTCTATCAAGTCACTGACCTATACAGAACACATGGCTGCATCGTCGCTTGGATCGCGATCACTCCGGATACGATCAACGCAAATCGATACAATTATCGAAACCGTTGCTACCTTAATCCTTTCGTCGGCGGAAACAAGCGGGGACCGTGGCAATTTCGTCGAGAAATCGCTCGTACGCGCGATACGGAGTAAACTGTCGTGTCTCGAAAGTCTCGGGAATCGACGTCTCGACGTCGTTGCGAACGATCGTCTCGATTCCCGAGACGGTGCGTCCGCTTCCGATTCACGTTTTCGACGGCACGGAAAGTTCCGCTCTCTTCGGCGCTCGTTAATATCGTCCGACGTGTAACGAGCATTACGTGAGCCGAATCGGCTCATCCCTTTTGCTCGCCCGGCCGCCGATCTTTCGAACCTTCTGTGTTGGAGGGCGAGCTATTAATCTGGCTCGGTCCAATGGCTCTCCGCTATCGGCAAAGAAAACTCTCCCTGGACAAAAGCGATCGTGTCCGCCCGCCGTCGCCGCTGCCGCCGCGCCTGATTCCCGACGTGTATTAAAGTGTGAAGAATCACGCAAATTTAAGAAGATATGACATCGTTAATCTAAGCAGGACGAACAATGAAAGACCTGTAAAATACGTCCACGCCGTATCTCTCGTTATAAATGGCTTCCTGTATCTCTCGGCTATGTAACTTTTATACAAGTCTGTTCACAATTTTCCGTGTGTGTTCGATGAATACTTTAAGTTCATTATTAAATTGCACAATCTATTTTCCATAATTGTGCAATATTTGACTCGTCTTCAAGTGATTTGCATCTACATGGGATAGAATTAATTTCCGCGTTTTTTATCAGATGTCGGATGGTTCGAAGTGGAGTAGATCACAGTGCGGCGCGACGTAGTATAACGTAAATTCTCTCGCACTCGCGCGGGATATCTTCAATGAACTGCAATAAAGACACATTGTGCTTATAAACCGGCAATGTCGTCTGTTGAGTGGACATTGTGAAAGCAGTCGCGAAGTTTCGATCGCTATTTACGAACAAGAATATCCGTCGTTTCTCTCCGCCGTTCGTTCAAAGTTTACGAGGAGATCTGTGAAAGGAAAACGAGGGAACTGTGCGAGGAACTAACCGTTCATTGAATATCGATTGTAATCGTTTCCTTTTGTTAGTTAAATTAAAATTATTACGATCTCTTTCATTCGGCGCTTAATGTCTTTCAATTCACTGAAATTTGACGCCGTTAAAAGCGTTTTTAAGTACATATTTTCTCTGATATTACTGCAAATCGTACTCCCCCTCTTTTAACTGCAATTATCGCAGAATCGAAAAAAAATTCAACTAGGAGCCCGAACTAACGTACTTTTTTTTTCATTCCACAATCATCACTTCATGCATACTCCATCTTTAATATTCCGGTAACGAGTGTAATGCCAATAATAAAGTAGCACGAACGGATCTCGCAGCTTAGGACGCTTCCGGGTGGATCTCTCTAGATTTCCAGAGGTGCGGAAGAGCAACTAATGTAAAAATTGTTTTCACCCTACCCGTTCGCGTAATCACGTTTACCTTCATCGAGCATGGACGCGCCCTGCCTGAATGGCGCTCACTAATTCGCAGTAAAACCGAGAGAGATTCTGAGGTGCTTGGAAAAATGATGAAAAAGACGAACTGTAGGAACGAAGTTGCGAGAGGTCGTGATGAGGGGAGGGAGGGGTGGACACGTGCATATAAAGTAAGCAGGCGAATGAGAAAGAGAGTGAAAAAGGTGGGGGGGGGGAAGAGGAAGAAACACGCGGCTTTGAAATTACCTGCCAACTCGAGTCTGAAATTTCATCGAGAACGAATCAACAGCTGGATCTTTCGCGATGTGCTAGAATCTACCTTCTGGGTAAACCTTCCATCTTCCTTAATCCCTCTCTCCATGTTACCTTCTCTTTCTCGCAATCTCTCTTTCCCTTCGGTTCTCTTCGGTTCAGGTTCTTGCACGAAACTTTCGTGGCGATGCCAACAAACAATCTCGGATGCTTTGAGGAAGTTATCGCGCGTTTCTCTTTGCGCTGTCGTGCTTTTTCGACTCGCTCCGATAAACCGCCGGTTTATGGACCCTTTTCGTACTGACCGAGTTGGCCCGATCGTCGAAGGCTTCGTCCTTCTTGCAAAAGTTCCCTGTCGTCATTTTTCACGATGATGAAAGGCTCGTGCTTCCGCCGACACCCGAAAATTACTACACGAATCCATATCTGAATGCTGTACGAGATATTTTGGAATTGAATGTTTTTTTTTTCAGATTTTGTGATAAATTTAAAAGCAATTTTTTTTAGTGAAAAGCTTGTGGAAAGTCATCATTGCAAATTCGAAATTTTCAACATTTTTGTTTTTGTTTTAACTAATTTCCAAATATAAAATCTAAAGTGGAATCCGCCAAAGATGAATCGAGGAATCAGTTTTTATTATTTTTTCTCGTGCTTTTTATAAAATACAGTTTGTCAGGTTTTAAACATATTAATTATAAATTATTCCCATAATATACATAATGTATTATCGTCAACGGCGTTTATTTTTTATTATACTCTTCGTTACATTTCCTTTATAACTTGCCGCCGAAAGCTGAAAGAAATAGTACACGCGTATTTCCAGACATCGTCATTCGTCGTTCCTCTGTGCGCTGCGCGCTTTTGCATTTCCACCATTGCAATGATTCTTTTTACCACTGCGCATATTACTGTGATCGCGTATAACACTGCTCTCCATATCTAAACCCGTGGCGCGATAGATGCAGTCGGGCTTTATTTTTATTACAGCTTTGAGTGCAGCGCTTTATTATCACGCGACTTTGTTCATACATATACATGCAGTAGTGCCCTCGAGCACGCGTCGCGAACGCGACCTCCCGCGACTCGGAATAAATCGAAATATTTTACGCGAATACTGCGCGCGCCATTCCGATTCGACGCTTCTTCTTCGCGTTGTCCATACTTTCTCGCTTCCTGTCGCGCCCGATGCAGTTTCACTTTAGTCTTTTCTCAGGGAGCGACGGTGCGATTCCTTTACGGTCGAACGAGCAATTCCCCGCAAACTCAGTTACCTTCAACGATTTGATACGCTATGTGAGCAAAACTGTATGGTCGAACTTTTTCTATCGGTGTAAACGTCGTCAAACGATTTTTCAATTACGCGTCGCTATCAGTAATTGGCGCAATGCTCGTCAAAGATTTTTCTAAATCCAAGTATTTAGTATGAAATTAAAGTAAAATTTTTAAGTAATATGTAAAGCAAAAACCTAAAAATATAAATTTAATGATAGATATCTTTAAAGATTAAATTTAATTAATAGTATTTGTCGTTCTTGGACAACATGTATGCAAAAAGAAATAAATTATGAAAGTTAGTAATGTGTTTTAAAATTGATAACAAATTTCTTTCGCATGAAAAATTTCGCAAAATCGTCATTCAAACTTTATATTTCACGCGTGCTAAGATGAAAAGGCAGGATATTCTGGTCTTAATAATTTAGAAATTTTGTAATATTTAGAATATTAAGATATACACGACGTGCTTATCCACCACAAAGCGTACTACGTCAAAGCGAATATGTAGTCGTAAAGGTAATTGCGTTTTACGGCTTGTCCCGTTGCGCGCGACACAAAAGGATCTATAGACGAGATATTAAAATGTAAGATAAGAAGACAAAGAGAGAGAGAAAGAAAGAGAGAGGAAGTTTATGTAGTTATCCGTCTTATTTTTTATCTTGCTTCATATAAAGTGTTGACACTAAACACAGGCGGACTTGATGGGAGGAAAAATTGCAATATCATAAGATCAAAGATTATATATGAGTAATATTCTTCGTGTCGACAAAGAATCATTTACATACCGAGATAAATAATATTTAGAAATACCGTAGGTCGTACGCCGATCTCTCTGCAAAATAAATACTGTTTCACAATTTCGAAAATCTTTCTAAAATCAATCAAAGAGCTCTGGAATTTTTATTATTTTTTCCGAATTTCGAAAAAGTAGGGCTTACTGTACAGAGATTAACATCGCACTGCTTTCTCTCGACATTCAATAAGATTGATTATCTGAAGAATTTGATTAATATATCCACGAATAAAGTATTCCTGTCTGCCGACATTTGTTTGTTACCTTTCACATTTATGAATTATGGAATCTTTCTTTTCGCATTAATTCAGATTGTATAGATTGTACACGAATCGTCGCATATAAGACCGCATTGGATGATAATTCGTTAAACACACAGTTGTTATAGATCATCGGTGAAAGTTGAGTAGAGATTAGAGTTGAGGGACGGGGTTGGTTCTCGCCAAAATACGGTTCGCCGAAAACTCGATAGCTATGAATTTTGTAGCAACTCGATTTTCCCGTTACGTGGACGCGTAATCACATCACCGGATCACCGATATCGCGTGTCCATTAAAACCGGTCGACCCTTTTTCAATGAACGTATCGCAACCTGTATCTGTTGCATCATGGTAGTACGGGGGATGCCTCGCCCTCGTGCAATCTCTCTTCGAGAGAAGGTCTCTGAATTCAGCCTCATCTACTACGTAATATAAAGAGTAGATTGGCGCCGCTAAATCTTTGCGGAAAGCCGTAAAACTTGAGCGCTCCCATGTACGTTGTTGAGCACAATAGCGGTCTATGATATACGATGCGCATTCCCCCGCGCACGTATACGCGGAGCACACCGCGTCCTGATAGTGTATCCTGGTCTTCTTTTTTGCTAAGTCTATATAAAGCGAGACGAAGCATTGATAAACACGTGTTCGGAGCTTTTGACCTAAATTATGTCGCGCACGATTTTACTTGCTACAAACAGTTTTGTTTAATATTTCTCGTCTCAAAAAGCAGAATGTAGGTCATAAAATCTCTTTGTGTAAAATTCAAAACTTGTATAATGAAATTGCGTTATAATAAAGAGATTATCGATCGGATAATCTAAACATCTATATTGTTCCTTGCATAAAAAAGATAAAACAAGAACTTGGAGTACATATTATAACGGAACATAAATTTTATCTTATTCCTGATAATAATAAAGTTGATAGAGAAAATTTATAGCGTCAATACAATAATTTCATGTTGTAGGTACGCAGCCAAGGAGTTCGGTATAAAGTTGAATTAATCCGCGATTCCTTGCGGATTATGCGGCAAACAATATTTTTCTTTGATGAACAGATGTTTTTATTTCAGGCGACAAAGCCGCTCGTAAAGCTTGCGCGTTAAGCTCCTTCGGAAAGAGCGTTTCCGTTTATTGAGCGACGGGACAAATATTTTCGAAACGAAGTTTGCTCATCGTTCGCGGTTTCGTTTGCGGGAGAACCGATAGTTTTCCCGCCACTCCGATTTCTATAACCTGTGTGACGTTAGAGCAAATCTTTCGTCCCATTCCCCTCCCCTCCTGCCTTGCACTACGTATGCCCGAACGAATCGAAGATTTTTCCATGAAATTGGTATCGTAGATCAGGTCGAAAGCCGCACTTTGTTTGACCCGAAGGCTCTCCAACCTGTTACCCGGCATCCTGGATATATCGACGTTTAAGACGTATCTGCAGGAGGTTGCCTCGGAAAAATTTATCGGGTACTCGCGATAGATTTCAAGATTTGTCTCAAAATTCATCGTCCATGACGCATCGCTGCGATGTGGCGGTCTTCAATTCGATTTATTTGCCTGCATCCGCCACCTAGTTCGAGTTTCATTGAATGATTTATCGAAACGCGCGAACGTAAATCTAGGTTTAAACTAATCCGTTGCTGTTAAAATATTTCGCATTCCGGGGATTACATACATTCTTTATCTGCGACGTACTCGTGCGTACTTTGCCGCCATTCGCGATTGTCATTTGCCGGTTTGTCAAATCTATTTTTGCATTTGAAATTTCTGTGTAACGACAAAGCCGTAAAATTTATCGATTTTTCTAGAAGCGCTCTTAATAAAAAAAAAAAAACAAGAGATACTGTATTTGATGGAGTGTGAATGATTCAATGCCAAAAAACAATGATACTGTATATCGCAATAAATATGAGAGAAAGAATTTTACTCACATCAACTTTAATGCCGTCGACCGTATACATGTACTTGCCGGCTGTATTAAATTCGTATTTATAGAATACTTCGTGGTCCTTGTACCATGTGATTCCATAGATGCCATCTTTCTCCGCATCGTATCTGAAACAAGAGATTAAGTGGGACACGTTATTAAATGTATTCCAGCTGTTTCCCTCGAATTACCGTTGAAGACATCGAGCAGACACAAGCTTGAATTCGCAACTATCCTTCATTGTTACGATATTCTCAATGTAGCCAATATTCTGCACTCGATGTCCGGTATTTCAGGTATAATTGATTGTTGTATATTTTGCCATACATGAGATACAATACATGCCGTACATAAAATATATGTATAATATAATATAAATATATTCCTCATGTATATATATAACATTGATATTAATTTATTGACAAATTATGTTTATAAAAAAATTATGTATTTATGTATTTATATAGAAAATTTTATTTATCCTGCATTTTAATACACTAGAAAATAACATTTTAGTAATTTAGCGTTAAAAATAGCTTATAAATTTTAATTTTATTTTAATTAGTTGTAATATATTTTCTTTTACATTATATTTGATATTTTTAACGCTAATATGAGCGCGTGTGTAGCGTGCGCTATATTATATTGTAGTATATAAAATAATCTTTCTCAAAAGTGGATTATATAACATAACAAGTATTACGCTTTCCGTCGAAAGTTTATGTTCTATAAATCATCAATGAAATAAAATGAAATTGTAATGAGCGGTTTCGAATTAAATAATACTTATCCATGCAGCCTTTTATTCGCAGTTTATTAATAGAATTTTAAATAGTCTATATATATTTTTATTCCTTGATAAAGATAATCTACATCTAATAGAAAATAATTCACCTAAAAACATTCACATAATTCGAATAAAAGATCAATTTCCATTCAATAAAAAGTAGTTCACATTTGATATAGGATTTCACATGATATAGGATTCATGAATGTGAAAACATAGAACTAAAAAGTGGGGTTTCGAGGAGTTTGAATTTAAGCAAACGACGAGTGCGAGCAAAAAGTTGAGTCCGAGAGTTCGCGCTTTCAAAAGTCGTGGAAAGTTTATCAGTTCCAATCTCATTGCAATCGCTTATTAAAATACAGGTATTCTTTCACAAAATCTGTTTTTGTTTTTCTATTATAATTCGGCTTTACGAGTTCGTATAACGTTTGTGTATACATCGATACATACATACAAACGCCGATGCTCGTTTCATCATGTCGAATCTTCATCACAGATTGACGGCGAGATTCTGTCGGCTAATTGTATGGATTCGTGCATGCCGACCGATGCGTCTACCTTTACTACTGAAGAGTACCCCATCCGTCTATTCACAGGCCGCTTTTACCGTGGACGCAATTTACGTATCCGCGGACTAATCGGTTCTGCGGTTCATTCAGCACAATAGAGACGAGCGGATACTGACGAGCTAGGAATAAAAGTGAAATGGATGCCGCCGAGCTCTATTCGTGCCGCCAGCTTCAGATCGTATTCTTAATTGGTCCTCGTTCGATTATTTCTATCGGCGAATCGCGCTATTAATTGGAAAATTCTCTCTGGCTTTCAAGTGCCAGCGCAAGCGTAGTTTCTGTGGCCTTAAAACATACTGTTTATTGCTATACAATTAACACGTTGTCGACGCGGGCGTTTAGCTTGGAGCGTCTGTGGCCGAATTCAATATCTCTTTATGAAGTTTTAATAGCTTCCCGGAAGCAGTTTACACGGATACTGCATATTTACATGTGCGGCGAGTCACCGCGTTAACATTTCAGAGCGCACTAATTCCGCGCGATCAAACATTAATCTTATGGCTCGGCACCTCATGTCGCATAGTGTTCAAATTGACACACGAGGGATCAGTGCCCGAGAGAGAGATTCATCGGTGTATATTCAAGGATTGAAAATCGTTCCGCAGTACTTTTACGACATTATTTTATACGACTGTATTTTCGCATTTTACAGTTTACTCTCGAAAATATCTATAATTTTATAATATAATTCTTTTTAATGGATGATTATAACGGTGAATCACACGTGTCATAAAACATTGCGCGGATGGCACGAAAAGCCATTTTTGAAAAATCATTCGCGCCAGAGGCCTTTTATGTTGGTGCGAAACAGGAGGGTTCTAAAGCTATAAACGCGATATTCCCAAATCCAGGGAAGCTGCAAACGCGCGCAGTTCGTATGGTTTAACATGGTTAAGTTCAGGAAGGATTGAGGGGATTATTCGCGTGACGAAGCTCGAGCGTAGAGCGAATACTACAGTATTGTAATAATTTATTCATCATTGAAACATACTGCCGGGGCAATCCGACGCAATTGTCACAATTGTTCAAACGCGCGACGCGCACAACTTGTGTCCAATGGCCAATTCGATGACCGATTCGTGTTATCTTCAATACAATAATAATAAATTGCAATGAATTAACAAATCGAGGAGAAATCAGACGAAGAGAAATTTGTAGAATTTTAATCTGAAAGTGTTCACAAATTTATTCGTTTTAGCTATTTTTATACATTTCGCTGCGCATGCGTATTCAAATTTCCAAATCATTCGTTAATCTGAAGGTACACTTTATTCTATAATGCACACAACGATCTTCCTACCGATAATATAGTAATTAAATATCCAAGTAGATGATTATATTATCCGTGTAATCAGAATCAAGGACTTCCACTAGACGGTCAGCTGTCGATTTATGAGCCTGTGACCCGTCTCCGCTCCAATACATTTGCATCCTTTCCCGATCCGAGGGAAAGGGGTCCGGACTACCCTCGCTGCCCATGCCATCCGCTAGATGGATGGTAATTGCATACCCTAAGTTATCACGGAATCGAAGTTTCTTCCGGTAGGAAACGACAAGCTTCACGGAATCTCTATTAGGGTGGCTCGATCGAAGCACCGTCCTGGCTGTGTGCGGGATACATGTATCTGGTATGTGTGTAAGAGTCGTGTAGTCACCGTGTTTAGCTCTCGCACACGAACGTCCGCTCACAAGGAACCGCGGAGTCACCTCGAGCAGAGGATAATTAAAGCGTAATTATATACTTTGGTGACGGGCGGGCGGAGGATGGGCGTAATGACGTTTAGTCGACACGTCGTAGATCTAAACGTCGTAATTGATGCGGTACTTAATGATCATTACCAAGAATATGATTAGCGCGAGATATTCCTGCCGCGAAAATGCTGCAAGAAGAGAGGAAAAAAAACTCTTTGCATTTATAACGGTATGACAAAAAGTTTATCATGATGAGAACATTTTAGATTCTCGCGTGATAAAAGATTATGTTTTCTGCTTCTTACGAAAGTTTAATGAAAAATTAATGCATACAGATAACTTTTTATGTCAGCGCATATGTATATTTTTCATCTTTTTTCATCGATTGCGCTATTTTTATATCTTTAGAGTAAATAAAAAATCATTTAATCAAAGACTATAAATAACAATTTAAAATAAATATAAAGTTTTTATATCGTATATGATATACTACAGTAACATTTTCCACAATAATGGTAACACCGATAAACTCTCTCAATTTGTAGGAAAAGTTTATGAAACATCAAAAATTAAACCAAACACAAGTTGAATACAAAGCCGTTAACAAGAATTTTTCACGTTCATTTTTTTATCAGTTTCAAATAAAAAACTGTCATTTTTCGAACAAAAGCTGCATATACTGCGCAACATTTATATTGCTTGCTCATAGTACAGTTTTTCAAAGAATGGTAGATTCACATTAAAACTAGCACGAAAAATATTGTCGTTGAAAAGCGCCTCTTGTTCGAAATTAATTTTCTTTTTCTTCACCCTATTTTGCGTCGAGAAAGATGATCTCGGCGCATCTACAGCACCGAAATTTGAGCTCATCGAATAGTGGATTCAATTTCTGCGAGCTATTGTTGCTTTGACTTTGTATCTAATGCCAAAGCGTATACTAAGATCGAACCAACTCTATAAATTCGCCTTCGCAGAGTCTGTCATGCGTTCGCAAGGAGCGAAACGCATGAAGAGCGATGAGCTAGGGCCGAAACTCGCCAAACCGTCCGGTAACACGTCGATTCGATGACCGAGCCGTGAGTTATTGGATTTCAAAGTTCGAAAGTAAAATTCGTCACATCGACCGCCGGCGAATCGGCGATGGCAGTACGCGCGGCACGTACCGTCGAATTGACTATTGCACTTTGAAACTCAATAACTTACGAACGAGAGCCGGCGCGACGCCGCGATATTGAATTCAAACTTTCCTGTTATTCTTATATGACGGACGATTTATCTCGCTAGAAAACATTTTCCCTCAGACATTTCCGCAGTACTAAGATCCAATTCGAAACGGCGTTTTCGCCCATTTTTTCCGTCCGAGCGACTGCTAAAGATCCCTACGCGCTCGCACGGCTCCCGCACTCTGATTCGCCGATTTTATATTTAGCAATATTGTTTATTGTGTGTATTTTAGATATTCATTTATCATTATGCATATTTATGGATAACGCGTTAATTTATGGATAACGGCGACGGTACGTCGAGAAGCTCGACAGAATTTATGCATTAAAGCGTGACAGGGATACTTTGTTTTGCGCAGATTCCATAAAATATGGTATGCAGAGTGTCATTGCACGTACGTCGCATGAAGCACTTTACGTTAATCTGCACCATACATATGTCGCGCACGCTCGCCCTGCCATATATCTCTACTCTTTGACAAAGACGTGCGCGCGAGGAAATAAAGATATAGTCTTTTCGGCTGACAAGGCTGTAACATAGTGCCGTGAACGTTTACACAATGTTGAAAATGTTGTCGACAAATCTCGCGACATTTTGCATTGCCGTTTGTATTTTTGGGAGCGCAATTCTTCGCGTTGTTCCAATTAACACTCTTAACCGCGCGCGAAACAGCTCGGCAAACACTGCCACACCGCCACGGCTTTGGCAAACGTTATTCGCTGTATCGTATTTGCTTTATCGGGGGAAACAATATGCTCCCCACGTAACGTCGTAAACGAGACTGTGAAAGCGCGCGAAGCGTCTGCAAATTGGAACACACGCTTTTTCCACGGTGTCTCGAGAAATCGTGGAGAAA